CATTCAACTTGAATGATATTATTAGTAGGATCTTTCTTATTTATTTATGATGATGATTTATGATGCTTGTTTGGTATTTACTTATTTTTGCTTCAATTATGATTTTCTTAGATGAAGCAACAGAGTTACTATATTGCTATCAAATTCAACTCACAAAGTTAACAATACTGGACGTATGACCACTCATTCTACAATGCAATTTCGCATTTATGTAAAATTACACTGGAATAGAGCAGAACGAACAGCAAATTTAAGATGAATTTGAAATCTGAGAAGATCACTGAGCAGAATAAAGGACAAAGTTCTCGAGCTTTTTAAAAGAATGATGAACTTATAATAATTAATTACGAGTGGATAAAGACGAGAAATATTTCTGAATACAATGTTGGGAGATCGTTTGGCAAATGAGTAAGATGCTAACTCCTGTTAAAGGGTATATGGTCGATTGATGATGTATACCTTTTGAATTTCTCAATAATAATGAGTCAGTTAGAATTATTAGAGCGTGCTATTCTACAACATGAAAAATAAAAAAATACGAAGAAATGATAACGATAATTTCTTTATTGTATAATATTGAATAGCTTAATTATCATAAAAATGAATCTTAATTTGAGAGAAATTATGTAAAAACCTAAAGTAATAAACATAAAAATTTAACTAATTTTAAAATAAAGTAAAAAAAAGATCAAAAACAAATTACGAAAATAAAAAGTAATGTTAGTGAATTCTTAATCATAATGTAAAAAGATCGTTAACTATAAACAAATAAATTTGCGAAAAGAAATGAATAACAATAAGTTTCATTATTATCTGAAAGTTTAGCTAAAATCTATAAAACTTACATTAATTGTTAAATAAATTCCAAATGAACGAAAAAAAAATATTTATATCAAAATTGGAGATTTGTGTGTAAAGGAAAAATAATTAAAAAAATTTTTTAATTTTTTTTTTAGTACTCAATTTATAAATGATTTTCATTATTTGAAACTTGTAAATTCGTTTATTTTTTTTATTGATTTGCTTAATATTTCGATTAAGTAAAGCACATTGTCAGGTATTATTATAGTCATTTTTGTATAATTTTTTTTTAAAAAAAAGAAAACAAAAAAAAGGATGTTTAAAATTTTTTTTTCCTTAAATGATCTAACTTATAAAAAGACATTTATTAGAAATTCTTTATCATATTATTTCTTCGCACCTTCCATAATAAAGTATATATTCTAACAATACAATAATATAATATAATACATTCTCATTATAATGTAATATACAAATTGATTATTTTTTTTTTTTTATATCATATCATAAGCACAATAACTTGGTGTGAAGAAAAGATCATGATTACATATTAAACAATGTGAGTAAAAGAAGTGACAAAAAAAATTTTTTTTTTAATAATATGGCAGATAATATTCAACTTGAATGATATTTTTTTATCGTTCAAGAAGAATAATGACAAATTGTTCAATTTAAACGATGACCTAAATCATTCGACTTGAATGATGACCTGAATTATTCAACTTGAATGATGATCCAAATCGTTCGATTTGAATGATAACAAATTGTTCGCTTTTTTTCCTTCCTCTTCCTTCCCTTTCTCCTTCCTGATCTTTTTGTTTTTTTATTATTTTTTTTCAAAATCAAATCGAATTAAAATTGAGTTGAGTCAAATTGAGTTGAGTTTAAATTTATATAACTCAAATCAAATCAAATTGAAAGATTTTATAAAATAAATTTGACTCGACTCGACTTGAAAAAAGAGAGTCAAATAAAGTTGATCTTTAAACTCGACTTGATTCAACTCATTCGGAATTCTAAGTATAATGGTAAAATATCAGAAATATGATATTTTTGTATTCATTATTTGTTAAATAACTTCTTAAATATAATCTAAAATACTTTTTGAAGAATGAATATATCTATATGATTAAAAGATTATATAAAGATAAAAAATTTAAAACTAGAAGGTATTCATTTATATTTATTGTACTATATGTGACTTTTTAATATTATTTATAAATTACCGTAGAGTACGCAAATGATTACCTGAAGAAATACATTACTGAAAAGTATCTTATATATGGGACCTTTGCAATAGAAAAGAAGAAAACTCTAATAAATATGATTTTGAGATATTTAGGTTTGAAAGTTTTTGATAAGTAAACAGATCGACAATCCACGGTATTAAAAATAGATATTAAAATTAAAATAGATCTTTATTTTTAACAATTTTTTTTATATTATAAATTATTATTGCCACTAGAATTTTTTTGACTTTTTCACTTTTTTTTCAAGCAGAGGTAAGCTTTTATAGGTAAGATTAATTTCTTATAAAACGCTACTAACTGTTCTTTTCTTTCTTTTTTTAGGAATCGACTTAGACTTTTTCTCAATACAGACTTAAGGTAAGTTTTTCATAGTTGGTATGTTAGTTTTTTCTTTTAGAATGATACTGACTGTTTTTTCTTTCTTCTTTTTTTTAGGAATCGGCTTGAACTTTTTCTTGAAATAGACTTGTGATAAATTTTTTATAGGTGTATGTGTTAATTCTTTCTTTAGAATAGCACTAACCATTCTTTTCTTTCATTTTTTCTAAGAAATTCGCTTATACTTTCTTAAGCGAACTTATAAGTTTTTTATTATAGGTGAGTTAATTTCTTTCTTTCAGTAACTAATCATTCTTTTTTCTCTTTTTTTTTAGGAATCGGTCAACTTTTTTTTCAAGTGAATTTATGGTCATTTTATGGATTTAATCAGATAGAATAAACCTTATAAGGAATAGTGTTCTTTTTTATTAGTTGAAGAATTTTTACACAAACATTTTTATGAAATCAATTTTAAATAATAATGACATAATATAAAATCAGGAAAAAAAATTTTTTCAATCATTTTTTTATTAAAAAAAAAGTAAAATTATTTATCTACTTGGTTTTTAAACGGTTGGTAATAAACAATAATCATTTTACTTTTGAGGATCTCTGATGTATTAATGTACCTACTCATATAAATACTATTACCTTTTAGCTGATAATCCTATAGGAAAAATTTCTTGTAAAAATTCTCTAATTTCTTTTTTTTTATAATATTTACAATTTACTCATCCCCATCAATTGTTTTTTTTACTTTTACTTTACCTATATTATTACTATAAAAAATAAAATGATAGTATTTTAAAATATTAGGAATTATTTTAAAATAATTTGATAAAAATTCTGTCCAATTATAAAAATGTACTATATGGTTTTCATCTTTATCAAAAATTGTCTGTGTTTGATTATAACCTTCTAATGTTAAACTGTTTACTATATCTACTAAATCATTAAGATTATCAACTTCTGATTTTTGTAATTTTAATTTAAAAAGATCAAAAATCCCATCAGGGTTAAATTTTGTATGTTCAAGTACCATAAATGAATATGTAATTTTAGTATGCAACTCACATGCAACTCGTCATGCTAAATACATGATCATAGCATCATTTTTGTTCTGCTCAGCACAATTATCCATATGAATTATTAGATTAGTTTCACTTATTCTATAGAGAATAAAATAATTATGAATAAAGAATATAATCGCATTTGTACTTTTTTCAATACTTTCTTCTTCTTTAATTAAATAGTTTCTCTAGAATAAAAAAGCATTAATAAATAAAATATAAATAATATTAAAAATTATAAAAATTATAGTTAATTATAAGTACTTACTTAAATTAGAAGCGTATTCTCACAAATTTCAAAAACTTGAATATTATAAAGAGATTTGAAATATGTACTTCCCTTTATAAAAAAAAATCATTTTAATATATTAAAA